CACGTGGCGATCATTCTTCTTAGATTCACGGTATCTTCTGAGCAGGCGGTGAAGAACTCTCATCCTCCTCAGCCAGGTTACCTTCTCAGGCATTCGAGCACTGGCAGCACCCTTTTGCTCACCTATGCCCACATACATCTATGCCGGCCAAGGTGTTTTTCCAGCATCGAGCTCAGGAATGGACAGTCACAGGCTTCCAGATAATCAGCCCAACTTTTTTTTTTTCAAAGATTTTTTATTGGGGAATTGGGGAAGGGGACAGCCAAGTTGTTGTCTTTCAATCTTAGTTGTGGAGGGCACAGCTAGCTCAGCTCCAAGTTCAGTCACCATCCAGCCGCCCGTCAGCAGCTCGTGGCCGCTCAGCTCAAGGTGCTGTGTTCAATCTTAGTTGCAGGTGGGCGTAGCCACCATCCCATGAGGAGTCGTGCTCTCACCGGCTGAGCCATCCCACCACCTGTTGGCAGCTCAGCTCCGGCGCAGCTCACTGGCCCATGTGGGAATTGAATTGGCGACCCTGTTGCTCAGAGCTCGAGCCCTTAACCAACTGAGCCACTCGGCCGGCCCTGATCAGCCCATCTTTGATCAGCTTCTGAATCTGCTGATGGAAGTTGGCATTAGCAATGTCACTGGTCTCACTGGGGTCCAACCAGACCTCCTTTTAGCCACAGCAGAGGACACTGGAGGCAAGCCCCTTCTGAGGGCTGAGCATGCTTACGGCTGCGGCTGCGGAGGCAAAAGGAAAGCTCTTTTTCTTTTGTGTAACTTCTATAGAAATTTTTGTGTGTGTTGTGTGTGATTACTTTGAAACTTACATAAAATATCTTATAACAGTATATTTTCAGCTGATAACAATTTAAGTTCAATAACATGCAAAACCTCCATTTTAACTTCACCCCCCCCACACACACACACTTTAATTTACATCTATTCATCTTGTGTGTCTTTTAACATATTTTAAAGTTATATTCATTTTAATACTTTTGTCTTTTAACTTTTATACTAGAATTAAGTGATTTACCAATCACCATTACAGTAATACAGTATTCTGTATTTCTCTATATATTTACCAACTTTCATACTTTCTTATGCTATTATGTTGCTATTGAAGAGCTCCCTTTAGCAGGCAGGTCTAGTGGTAATGAACAACTCCCTTAGTTTTATTTGTTTGTTTGTTTGTTTGTTGTCTGGTAAAGTCTTTATCTCTCCATTTTTGAAGGATAGTTTTGCTGATCAGAGTATTCTTGGTTGGCTTTTTACATTTTCTTTAAGTATTTTGAATATATCATTCTACTCCCTCTAACCTGCAATGTTTCTGATGAAAAATCCACTGATAATCTTATGGAGTTCTCTTGTATATGACAAGTTGCTTTTTTCTTGTTGCTTTTAAAGTTCTCTCTGACTTTTGACAATTTGATTACAATGTGTTTCAGTGTGGATTTCTTCGTGTTCATCTCCACTGGTATTTTTGGGTTTCTTGGATCTGCATGTCCATTTCCTTCATCAGATTTGTGAAATTTTCAGACATTTTTCTTTTAATAAGCTTTCTGGTTCGTTCTCTCTCTCTCTCTCTCTCTCTCTCTCTCTCTCTCTCTCTCTCTCTCTCTCTCCCTCCCTCCCTCCCTCCCTTCTTCCCTCCCTCCTTCTCGTCTCCTTCTTGGACTCCCATAGGGCATATATTAAATCTATCTGGTGATATCCCATGAGTTCCTTAAGCTTTCTTCACTCATTCTTTTTTCTTTTTGCTCCTCTGATTGAATTATTTCCAATAACTTGTCTTCAAGTTGGCTGATCCTTCCTTCTGCTTTAGTCTAACATTGAACCTCTCTACTGAATTTTTCAGTTTATTTATTGTGTTCTTCAGCTCCATGATTTCTGTTTGGTACTCTAATATTTTCTATGTCTTTGTTGAAATTCTCATTTTGTTCATGCATTTTTCTCTTGACCTCAATAAGCATCTTTATGATAGTTATTTGAATTCTCCGTCAAGGAAATGATATAACTGTTTCACTCGGGTCATTTTCTGGATATTTATCTTGCTGCTCTTGAACACCTTTGCCTGATTCTTCATTTTCCTTGTCTCTCTGTGTTGGTGTCTGTGCATGAGACAAAGCAGGCACCTCTCGCAATCTTAATGGGCTGCTCTGGTATAAGAAAAGACTCCTGCCATTCATCCCCATCTGAGATTCTGGGGGCCTCTACCAACTCTTTCCCTTCCCAGGGAAAAGCAAGAACTGAGGTTTTTGTCCACTTGCCCTGTGCCAAGCCAGGGGTGGGGGAGCCAGTGCATCCACCAGCCCAAATCACTGTCTCCATCCTCCCCTAGGTAGTTAGATTGCACCAGACTCATCAGAGCTCCACAACTGGCAAGGCAGATTCTAGTTCTTTGGTCAGGCCCAGAGAAGTTGGGGCTCTGGACACATGGATTAACTCTTTTCCTTCCCAAGGGGTAACTGAGAGGTGCTCAGCAGGAGGGAGGATCTATGACATCTACCAGCCCATGCCACTGTTTCCATTCTCCTACAGGTGGCTAGATTATGCCAGACCCATCAAAGTTCCAAGTCTTGCAAGACAGAAGCCATTCCTCTGGGGTGTCTCCTTAAAAAGGCTGGGGGTCTAGATGCATGAAACAACTCTTTCCTTCCTCAGGAAGAAGCTGGGAGCTAGGGGTGTCTCCCTGATTATATGGTGCTGAGCTGGAGGGGCAGGGATTCTGCTGAGAGGGTTTCCTGAATCTCCCTACTGGCTTTGGTGAGTCTGGTTTCACATTTGCCCACAATGCAAGAGACTCTCAATTAGTTTCAGAATTTCTCACAAAGTTAATTTGTTCATGAATTGTCGCTGAATTGGTTGGTGTGTTTGTGGAGGAGAAGGCTCCAGGGCTTCCTACTTTGCCACCTTGCTGATGTAACTCCTGAAAATTCTTTTTTTTTTTTTTTTTTTTTTTTTTTCTGAGCCATCCTGCTACCTATTGGCAGCTTAGCGGCTGCTCAGCTCGGGCTGGCCTCGAACCGCTGTTGCTCAGAGCTCAAACTCTTGAGCAAGCTCTTAACCAACTGAGCCACTCGGCCGGCCCTGAAAATTCTTATTGTATAGAATTTTTTAAAGTCAAAATAGTTTGCTAAATTTGGAAAAAATTTTACAAAGAAAAAACTCTTTAACATCTGTGATATTTTCTCACAAAAATTATTTCTAAATTTATGACAGTTCTATTTGCAGGACTACAACACTCAGTACTTCAGATATTGTTTATAAATCATATCAAGTTTGAGAAAAACATGTTTCCTTTTTTAAAAAGAGCAAATAATTAACAGTAATCATGAAAAATAAAAGAGCTGGTTAAATCTAATTTTACAACAAAGCTAAATGTAGATTTAACTGTGAAGAAATGTTATTTAATTGAATCTTCATTTAATATGTGGTAATTTACTTCAAGTCAAAATAAAAATGTTACCATGGACTCTATCAGGCTACCATGGCATTTTCTAGTCTTCAATTTACGCATTTCTATTACAGACAACAGAAACACTAGCATAGTAATAACTGACCTGTAAGTGGCATGGAGGGAGTTTATTATTATGAAAAATAATCCTATTAATAAGCTCCCTGGAAAAGAGCAGTTAGTAATACTATACAAACAGAAGTCTACTCTTAAGGTTTTGAATTTTAGGATGTCGGAGAGATTTGGCTATGTATGTGTAAATGAACATACTCTATTAGACACAAAAGAGATAATAGCACAAAATTGTATCTTTCTAAAGGCAAGTTCAAAAGCTACTTAAAATATATTTCTTTCCAATCATTTTCAAAAACTAGTGAACTACAGGTTAAACAGTGGCAAACACTCAATGAGTTATAAAAATTATACTTCATTTTCCATTAAGAATTATTATTAATGGGAAATGTATCAAATGAAAGGATAAAGGGTTGAATTTCTCAAAATTGAGAACAATACAGGTGGTACAGTAAATTCTTATCATTGGTCAGGGGGATGATATATGACTGAAAATTCTAGTTAGCTGTCCAAACTTTATAGCTTCTAACCAAATACAGTGTTAATTATTAATATGAGTCTGGTGGTAGGAAATAAATGCTTATGGAAGACTGTTCGCGGGGCATGCTATCCTAAATGTTACCTGTTGAAGGAACAGGGCCATCAGAAAGTTTTCTATCTGTTAATAGATTACATTCAGAATCAGATTAATAGAAGGGCCAGAAAATCCAGTCTAAAGATACTAAAACATTATTGGAAATGGAGTGCATTAGAGAGGAGTATATGCACCAAAATTTTTCTCAGAAATTAAGGTAGGATTCATCATACTCTGATGAGCCATTTGGGGTGGGGCATGAGACCCTAAATGAACATGCTCCAGTAACCAGAGCTGCTAACTGCCACCTAAGTGGGGCAAGTACAGTTAAGAGATCTCGTTTTGCTTCCAGGGAGCTAGAGGGTGACAAGAGCTAAATTGCTCAGGATAATAGAAATACTAACCTGCCAACCTCCTTCTAGCCTCCCCTGAAGTTTAATGGGGTGCCAATTAATAACATCCTGATCAGCCATTCACATATCCTTGGTTGACCTTGGCAAGTACTATTTAGCCCTTATAGAATTGCCTTTACTTAATAATGCTTGGGGCCCTACGGTGCACTCTAAGAAACAGTCACATGAAACACAATGGTCTATTGTAGGGGCAAAATTAAGAGTAAAGGATCCTTTCACAATATCTACAGTAGGTCTTTTGGGAAACAACTGCTTTGTTTTTATGTTAAGTACATTATGCTACTTGCAGCTGAGAATATTTTCCCTTTCGCTGTGGGTGCTAGGAAACTGAACAGCCAGATTTGCAATCTCACTCTTGAAATTGTACAGGCTCAGAGAATGCATTTCTCTCTCTCTTTTTTTATTTGTACCTTCTATTTTCTTATCTATTTTTTTCTTTCACTTGTACTCCTTCAATTTTTTTACTTCAATCTTTCCTATGACGAATATTTTTGAAAGTTACCTCTACTCCTTTGGAACACTAGTGCGAGTCCCTGGTTCCAGCATCTCACGCCTTCCTCCTGATTCGTTCCCTCATTTTGAGAGAGCACCCCCTCCAGTAGCTTCCTGCGACAAAAGCAAATGAGAAGTAATGTTTTTGAGATCTTGCTTATTTGAAATTGTCTTTATTCTACTCTCAAACTTGATAGTTTGGCTGAGCATAGAAAATTATTTTTTCTGTGCTCATTGGGCAAGAAAAAGTGGCATTCTTGGTTTCATTATATTCATAATTTAGCTACTCTAATAGCATCATACCAGTCAAATTATTTAACATCTTTAGGAAATCAAAGCAAGCTATTTTGAACCACTGTTTTCTGAACATTAATACTACGGAATATATATAAACTAACACCGTATAAAAAGAAACTTCTGCATTTTTACTTTATTTTTCCAAAATATTTAGATACCTATTTTTTGTGTGTTGTAAAAACTTCCTTACTTTTTCCATTTTTATTATAGATGTCATATGACAAGATGGCTTACATAGGACAATACTACTCTATTTTGGTGTTTTGCTGTTCACTCATTCATTTGTTTGTTCATTCATTTGTTCAATCATTTATTCAATAAACATTTCCCCCTTTCTCAATTTCCTCATCTTGTTTCTTTTCTCTTCTCCATTGCCACTCTTCCTTCTTTCTTTCCTCTGAGAAAATCCAATAAATGAAAACGTGTAATTAACCGAAAGATAAATTAGGAGAGTAATTATTCCCCTTGAGCCCATAGGCCAGAGCCAGCCACCTGTGTATGCACTCTTAGAGACAGCTTTCTCCTCCACCATGGACAGCTGCGGGATCAGGCTTAAAAGGAACTTGCGAAGACTTCAAGTTGAAAGAATTGGGCTGTGAACAAGACACTGTGCCAAGTGCTTTAACCTCAAATTCCTCCTTACAGCAGTTCTAATGGAACATGCGTTTTGTTTTGTTTTAGTGATTTTATAAAGGAACACTGATGCACAGAGAAATAAATTTGCTTTACGTTTCACAGCTAAATGACAAAGTTGGTATTAAAATTTAGATCCAACTCTAAAACTAGGATTTTAACTGAGTTGTTTCAAACTAGCACTACCAATACTCTTTTTTTATTTTAAGATTTTTTATTGGGGAATTGGGGGGATGGGAACAGCACTGGGGAATTGGGGGAAGGGGAACAGACAAGTTGCTGTCGTTTTGGAGGACGTTGCTTCACTGGCCCAAGTTGGCACCATCATTGAGCTCTTCCCGGGCGAGGCACATCAGTCGCCGGCTTCTGGATGGCCACTTACAGTGGCT